AAAGGCTCCACCTCCTCAAGGTTGAAAAACCTTTACCAATTCCCCTTTCCTTGTGTCTCTGTTAAAATAAAATCCCATAACTCCAGACTCCTGGGCTTTGGTAAGTGGCATGTCTGACTTTATGATTTATAAATTATAGCTATGGACCATTAAGATACATTTCTCAGCTTTAAGTAAGCTACAGTGGTGTCATATACGGTGGTTTTGAATTTCTGAAGAAACCAAGTACATAGTAGTTGACGACCCAAATAATTCAAATTCCATTTGCCTTTGTGGAAGGCTTTTTTCCCTTAGTACAGGTTTTCTTTTTTTTTTTTTTCTTCCATTTTCTTCTCCTCTTAGAGTTCTGCCTTATTAAAATCTTTACTTCTAAATATGAGTAGTCAGGAGTTCTTAATGCCACCCATTGCTCTACAGAAATGGTTATTTTTGTCTAAAGAACATCTTACCGCTGAAGGGACGAGTGGCTTTTTCTGGTAACGGCGCTAACACAGAAACAGTTTGGACTCTCACTTGTTGCCCCTGACTTAGGGTCAATGAATGGTAAGACTGTGAAGTTTTACAAATGCCAAGGCTTGGGAGTGATGGTTCCCCCTGTGAGGGAAGAAGGCTGTGTGTCACGCTGTCTTAAGAGCACACGGCACCTAAAGGGGGATTAGGTTTTATTTGCGCTGCTCTCTTGACGGCTTTTCTTTGGAGCTTTCCAGACAAGAGACTCTAAGATTGCCAGAAAGCCACGTGAAATGGACCCAAGTCTCTGTCCAATCTGGGAGAATCTGTGATGGTTGGTGGACAAGGAATAAAGCAATTAAAGCAATATGCAGGTTAAATACTAGAACGTATTTTGACCCATGAATTCTGGTTTGAGAAAATATGCGGGAAGGTTATTAGAATTCTTAGAGGTTGAGTTTGGGCAAAACTGCTAAAAATGATAAGGCGGGATTACTCTCCTCTCTCTTTTTCTTTCCCAAGATTTATAAAAGAATGAAGTATGAGCTTCCGAATCTATGTGGCTATGCCTCCCTAATACTATCTTTTTTTGAGCTAGAATATTTGTCTATAAGTCCTCCTCCCTATGGAGGACTCAGACCAAGAGTCAGTTGGATCAAATAAGTCTCCCCAAATACACAATAATACAGTAATGACCTTGACCTTCTCCTTCCCCAGTCCTCATTCTGCTTTAAGGGAGAAAGCATTTTTAAGTTAAAAATAAAAACACATACTGTGTTGAATTTTTAGCTTTTTCTTTTTCAAACTAAAACCAAGAAAATCTTTTTAAAGAAGCGGGCCGAGGGACGGGGGCAGAGTACAAACAAGTAAACCAACTTGCCTGACCTGCTTTCTTTTTAAGCATCCAGTAATATGATCATTTTGTAATAAATAACTGAGCTCCTACCCGCTTTGGGAAATTCTGGCTCCCTGTTTCTTGAATTGTGGCTACTTTGTTCAGAAGGTGTAGGCGGTGCCATTCTAGCCAGAGAAACCAGATCCAATTTCCTTCCTTCTCATTTGCATTGTTTGTGAAAAAGCCCAGCGGCTGTTTTAAATAAGTCTGGCCTCTGGTTAAAGTCTAAGCTGGTAGTGAGATCCACCCAGAGTAGAGTGTTTCTGACACTCTCTGCTGCTCTTGGCCTAGGGTACTCAGAGTATTAGACCCCAGAAGCAGCCAATTTTGTAGTGCCTTTTAATACACAAAATTGTATTAACATCAACATGGATACAGATGGATGCACCGCAATAAACTAACCACTTGAGAAAAGCCTTTATTGACTCTCAAGTAAATAATGCACATTTTAAAGGAGCTAAATATGCATTGACATAATGTGCTATAATTTTTTATTGTGTCAACTACTCACAGCACACACATCCATAAGAGATGTTTTTCTCTGTCAAAAATTTGGATGGAGACCCTTCTTTGTGGATTGCGTTAGCACCACACCAGATTCGCAATGGTAGAATTCTCCCAAGTGGTAGTGTCTCTTCTGTGGGACCCTGATCTGAAGATGTCAGCGTACGTTTAGTGAATTTTACAGATTGAGTGATGGACTGATTTGATCCCAACGGAACTTTCTAAAATGATTGGAGACGACTTCAGCAAAAACTTAGGCACGATGAAAACATCTAAGTCAAGATAAAAGAGAGAAAAGAAAGAACTAGGAAAGAAGAAAATCCAAATTTAGATGTTGCTGAAGGCTGAGCTTTAGAGAACGGATGAACATGGGTCTCGTCCAGTAAAAGAGTGATACTAGCAGTTTATCTAGAGAAATAGCATGTATTTAATAATTTTTAAGAGGTCTGTGTAATGTCTGTAACACAACTATTTTCTGTTTGAAGAAATTAAAGCTCAAGATCTTGAATGATTGATATACCCAGTTCCACAAAAAGCTAATGGCTGAACACCAGAAAGTCCAAGACTTGAGAAAGTAAGGGTTGTGAGGGATAACCCTTGGAAATGCAGACTCAGCGGTTGCCTAATTTGAAACTACAGGCTAAATGATTTCCTGGTACTAATTAAGAATTAATTGGTCCTTATAAGTCAGTCATTGCAGAATTAATTTCATATAGTACCATGTGTTCTTACGTTTGTGTTAAACTCTGTGCCACAAGGAAAAGGTGAATTGTTTTAGTAAAATATAATAAAGAAACGAAGGTCTAAAGTTAAGTTGCTAATGATATCCTTTTAGTAACAAAGAGTGCTAGGATGTTTATTAGCAGTCAAAGGGAGGGATTCCAAGATCCGTTGAATTCTTCCCTCTATCAACTTTAACTTTTATCCACCTGATCTTTACTCAAGTGAATATTTTCCCTTGCATTCTCTGTTGGCCACCACAATTTTTCATAATCAAACAACCATTTATCACTTTCCATTGAGCACCTGAAGCACTGTCACTTTATCATTAAGGTCTGCTTGCTGGGGACTCTTGACAGTGGAGCTCCCACCTTTGTGTTTGACATGCTGCCCAAGTGGAGTGTATCATTTTGTTATGCTTAAGTACATTCCCAGCCTTGTTTGGGAAATGCCACATTCCATCCCTGACTAGAAACTATTTGGTCAAATGCAGGGTGCGGGGTCAAATGTTCTTGCTACCAGCAAAGACAAACCATACCATATTAGATGAACAAAACAACTTTGGTTCCTTAAAGCACCATTTGCAAAGTAAGAGATGACCAGAGCCATTTAACTTCTTCACTTACGGGTTGTTTAACTCAGAGAAAATAACAGATCCCTAAACTCTCTGGCTTTTTGCCAGGTGAAAAAAAAAAAAAAAAAGTTTTAAGTCAACTTGTGTGGTTCTTGATTTCTGTACCACTCTTGCATTCAGTCAATGACTGTACATTCAACTAATATTTGTTGAGTACCAAACGGTGTTCTGGGGATATGATAGTGAACAATTATATAGATGGAAAAGCTATTTTCTAAGACAGGAAAGATTGGAAGAGAGCAGGTATAAAGGATGGAAGAGGACGAGAATTCTGGTTTCAATAGGCTGTATTCAAGATGCTCTCAATTGTATGACTGAAGTTAAAATTTTGTCTGTGTTGGCCCACCGTGGTATCCCCTGACCAGAGTAGAAGCCCATCAGTGTTTATTGGATAGATTAAGCATTTTGTGAATGAAGGGGTCCCGTCAGATCATCTGCAAGACATGCACTAGGCTATTGCTTCTACTCCAAACCCCCATTTTCACTCTTTAAAAACTAGATGCTATTCTGAACCTGAAAGTCCTAGCCATTTCAATAGTCAGAAAGTGCCCCAGAACTAAAGCCATCCCAGTAGGGAACAAAGAACCCATGCCCAGTGGTCAGTGGGGCTGGATTATTTGTATAGTCCTCAGCCACACTTAGGGTGTGTGATAGGGAGTGTGGCTTCTCTTGCTTAGTCTGCTCTACAAGCCCCTTTTGGTATTAGGAAAGTCTTCCTCTCCGAAAACTGGGCCATTTCTTTGGTCTTTGCAGTGACTCCCTGAGTTTGAAGACTTAACTGCAAAGAGTAAGGCAAGATAAATATTCTCATCTGCTTTTATTTGAGAGCTGTTTTGCTGGCCCTCAGTGAGAAGTGAGAGCTGCTACCTTGGTGTTTCTCGGTTTTAGTATCCCCAACCCTTCCCCTAGGCTGCTCTCCTTCTCCAGCAGATTTCATCAATCACCCTTCCAGTTCAAGGGCAAAAGTTCTCTCAGAGACATTATCAAGCGGCTCACATAAGTTTTTTAATCTAATGTAATCTTCTTGTACAAATAAAATTTAGCAGGGCTCAAATAAAAAGGAGTCATCGTTGTCTGAGTTCTTTTATCAATTTTTATGGGCAGAAGGCTCACAGTTGAGCAAGGGTCACTGCCTACTCAGCCTGTGGGTTCCCCTGCTCTAATATTTATGCATTTCTGAGTTTGGCTTTGAAATGACAAAAAAAAAAAATATGGGAGGAGGTGGTGCTGCGTAAACCTTCCATGTAAAGCGAGGCACCTAAATTGCACAGGTTCATTAGGTGATCATTTACTACATACTTCAAAAAAATTTCATCCTGTATGAGTCCCTAGAAATTTCCTTGAAAGGGGTATAAGAGCTTTAACAATGAATTATTGTCTATGGGTTAGCTCAGCATGGAAGAAGAACCATACGTGCAAACTAGAATTTGTCATATGTAATGTCAGTTAAATCAGGTCTAATCTACCAAATACATTTTTTATTGCTTGCTTCATTAAAAAGGCTCTTAAGGTAATGAATAATCTTCAGCTTCACCAAGGATTATTAATACCTGTATAACTCATGTCCACTGAAAATGGAAAGACAGCCTGAAACCCTACGCTAATCTAACCTCCATGTTTGTCTTAGAGCCTTAAGGAAGGAAATCTATCAGACCTAGGCAATGTTAAATTCAGCCACATGAGCAGTGCTGTGAGTTGGGTCAGGAAGGAAAGGAAGAAGGAGGTTGGATAGGGCATGGACGCTGTGGCAAGGCGGGACTCTCTCTTCATGACTCTGACGTTTTTCTTTTCCTACAGCAAGCCCGCACGCAACACCGTCGACTCTTCATTTCCCGACATCGCCCATTATCCAGCAGCCCGGGCCTTACTTCTCTCACCCAGCCATCCGCTATCACCCTCAGGAGACGCTGAAAGAGTTTGTCCAACTTGTCTGCCCTGATGCTGGTCAGCAGGCTGGACAGGTGGGGTTCCTCAATGTAAGGAGACCTCTTTTTTTTTCCGATTTCTTTAGAAATAGTACCCAAATGTAAAAATAACAAGGGGAGACCTTCTGACCATGTGACAGGGCGCTCTAATGTTGTGCTGACGGACTGTAGACAAATGTCATATTTATTCTAGATTGTGGGAAAGTTAACTTGCTCTAAGAGTGATTGGCCAGGGTTTAAAAAGTGTTTGTGTTAAGTTCGCAACTGTCAAGTTTATGGGTATAATTCATCTCAAGGGTGAACCGTATAACCTTCTAAGGTCTGTGGGCTGATAATTCCACCTCATGTACACTAACCCTCGGGCTCACGCAATGAACCAAATAGAAAGACCAAATAATTTTAAATAATGGTTTGGGGTGGTAGGAAGAGGTAGGGGGAAGAGGAGGGCACAGATGTTTCAGATCAACTAAGTTGATATTTTTTAAAAATACAGTCTTCTAACACTTTAGATCAAGTTGACCAGTACTTGAACTCAAGATGCTGGAAGCACAGTTTATTATGGTTTGTTATCTCTGCAAGTAGTTATCTTTCCCACTTATCTTTGTATAAAGCTAAACAGCATTCAACAGCGTCAAATGAATGTTTTCATCTTTTCTCTAGTAAACCAAATAATCACAACTTGAGATGATATTCCAAACGCAAAAGTGATTTTTAAAAATCGCAAATTTTATTTCAAAGCTGAACTAAGTGTTTACAGTTGGATAGTGGTGTCCCAAGGCCACTAATAATAATAAAGACTAGAAAATAATGACCAGCGTAAAGTCAAATGTGATCTTCCTTTTCTCCTAAGGGCTACGCTTGAAGCCGCAGATCAGCTGTCATTATTACTGCCTAATTGAGAATATTATATCATACGGCCCTGTCACTGATTTTTCTTCCCTTGCAGAAATACCTGATTCTGCATATCTGAGACAGAACCGGCAGCTTTGACTAATGTCTGGTGATGTGTTAGCAGATACATTTCTGTCTAGACAACAAATCAATATGGGGCCTTTTTTCTTTTTGCTTGTGTATTCATTTGCTTGGCTTATTGTAAAGCATTCACTTACGGACTTTTAGCCCACTCAGAATAACATGCGAGCAGGTTTGCTGGCAAGAAAGTGTAGCATTCTGACTGTCAGACAAGATAGTCTTTGAAGAACAATACTAAATATATATATATATATATATATATATATATATATATATACACACACGAACGTGGGTGAGGGGCTGGCTGAGGCCGCCTCTGCAAAGTTATTAGGCTTACACTTAAAAGCCTGGGACAACTGGTTCTCCTTCACCTGAATTTTGATTTAGGATGACAGCCCAAATACCAGCTGTGATTATTGGTCATGTACAGTGTCACCAAAGTCCAGAGTCAGAAAGGCCACATGGGAGACCATGAAAGATCTGAAGTGATCACCAGCATCAGGCATCTGACTTTTAAGTTTCTAACTTTTTTAAAAATAGTCCTGACATTATCCTGTATAACTGTCAAACTCCCGGTTTTGCATTTTGATCAAAATTTTATAGGGTTTAAAGGCAGGTCTCTCTTCGTGGGACTATTTTGAAAAACTTGAAAATAAAATGGATTTTATTGCTTTCTTCAGAGGGGAACTTTCTTTTGTCAAAGAGCTGTGATTTGGTTGTTTTAACATCAGGCAGCCAAATAAATATGACTGTTATGGCATATGCTTATATAATTTAAATCAAAATTAGAAGTGATATTTTTCCCTAGCAGAATTTTGACAGCTCAATTCTAAAGTTTCTGTGCCTGATGTTATACAATATGTGAAAGAAATTTTTTGTGTTCACTTAACATATTTATTAAATGTTATATAATATCAACTTTGAGGAGTGAAAATAAAATATTATTTTTAATTTCAAATGCGTATTTGGGCAACATCATTATATCTGTGTAAGTAGACAGTATGGAATAATTCCACAACCTACAAAACACTTGTGTATTAAATAAATACTAATCGTGAGAATGATGATGAAGGTAGCAGTTAATACAGAAGTGAAGCATTCCAGGCAAATGCTGGCAGGTTGTTTTAGGGACGCAGGATGTACAGAAGGTCAAAGTAACTCGAGAGATAAGTTTGGGATACATTGAGCATGTGTGCCCGACGCTATGCTTTTGTGAAATGCCTCAAGAACAACCCAACAGTTTTTTTAATCTCTATACTCTGAAGGAAGAATTCAAGCAGCTAGAATACTTGGTAATTTTACATAAGAGGTAACTAATGCATTGTCTTTCGTTTTCAAAAGGAGCTAACGGTTGATATCTGTTTCTTCTTTTCCCTCTGCGTGTTTTGTTTTGCTCCTGCCTTCGCAGCCCAATGGGAGTAGCCAAGGCAAAGTGCACAACCCATTCCTTCCTACCCCAATGTTGCCACCGCCGCCGCCGCCACCGATGGCCAGGCCTGTGCCTCTGCCGGTGCCAGACACAAAGCCTCCAACCACGTCAACAGAAGGAGGTGCAGCCTCCCCAACCTCACCAAGTAAGTATGGATGAGCCGAGGCGCCGGTCGCTTTTCAAGCTCTATTTACTGGAATCCTCTTTTAAGTCTGGTCCCTAAATGCATAGGCTCTAGCGATAGACCCAGATCCCCGGGGATGGTGACAGCCTAAGTCTGCGGAGCCAAGACCAGATCACAGTGAACCCCACTAATGGGTACTATCAGTGACAACATATGTGGAAATGACCGGGTGTTTGGTGTGGCTACATGCCCAAGACTGAACTCAATATATGACTTATTAAATTTTGCACCTTATTGAATGGCTTTGAATGCTCTCCTCCTGATAATCACACGGTGCCCACTTGCATGAATTCCCAGTAGCAAAAAGTTCCTTTTGTGTAGCCCCGCCATAACTTACAATCCAAGAAAAATGTACTTGATGAGCTATAAAGGCTGTTCATTTTATACATCAAATAGGTTAAAAAAAAAAAGTTTAAATCAAAGTAACAATTCAAAGGTGCGTACCTTGAACACCCACCAAGAGTAAGAGCCTGGCAGAAGATCAGAGCTGGTAGCCATGGAATTTGCTTGGCCAGGTGTGGTGGGGGGAGGGGGACCGGAGGTGGAGAGGAGATAGGAAGTATAATTGGATGGAAACAGAAGAGAATTCTTGGCTCTTCTCTGAATAGTATGGGAACATGTGATCAGACAATATGAGATTTCCAAACTTTTTTAGGTGATAGGAATGATGACTTGCTGAATTAGAGGGATAGTTCCCAATATTTCAGAGATGACAAAGGAATAGAAATAACTCAAACACACAAATTTGACTTTTATTAGTACCTGGAATGATGTCAAAAAGAGTGATGGCCAGAGGCAGAGTTCTGAAGTGATGGATGGATGACCTAACCTTGACAGAGGGTGTGATAATCACCTCCCTAAAGCTTTACTAAGGGATCAAAGTGTAGGAAAGGGTAGGAAATGTGACAGTAATCCTAAGGAGAGCAGGTCTCCAAGGAGTTCTTCAAAAGTGAGACTGGAGGCAAGGAATGTACTGAAGAAAAGATTAGAGTAGACCAGGGAAGAAGTGTTAAGATAAGAACTTGAAGAGCAATTACAGAAGTTGAATGGACGAGAGCACAAGGAGGGTTACTTTGTAGACATACGCTCTGAGATTGGACAGTCATTTCATTGACTATAATGAAGGATGATTCTAGGCCTCTTAGGTTCCTTACTTTCAGTTTAGGGGACATGATGGTCTTGGGTGTAGGAGGTAGAGAGCCAAAGAGGAAAAATAAGCTTCTGTTGACACTGTGTTCGTTGGATTTAATTCTGGAGACACTACACTCCAAAATGTAGCTCTTCGTGGACATGTCTTTGAGGGTGAATTTTGGGTTATCTAGTATTTACTCATTTTGATAACACATATGGAAATGAGTGGCATTGTGCTTGGATTCTGGTATCACAACAAAAAGATTGAGGGTCCAGGGGCAGTTTTGTGGGAACCCACTTCTCTTGATAAGAGGTGGTTCAACCCTTTCCAACAAAGGAGAAAACCTGAACATCTATTGACTTAGGAAACAAAGAAGGCCTGGTCTATGGATCTTGGAAGCTCAGCTTGAAAAAGAAGCTTCTGAGAAACAGAGGCTCATAGCTGCATCCTGCTTATTGTGCATTAATGTAATATCTTCCAGCAAGTTAGAGAAATCACCGTCCCCAAACTCTATTTAAATCTGGTCACTGGGGAATACTGACCTACAGTTTGGTAGCCACCTAATTACCTCCATGTGCCACTCTTCTGTTCATCTTCTGCCTATTTGTGCAGGACAATGACACAGTGCTTTCAAAGCCTTGTGGTAATACTCTAGCTATCCCGTTTACACATTGCCCTCCACTACCACTGTCTCCTGCATCTGTAGTGCATTTTCCAGTAAGGGATGGGGCCCCTCAGGCACCATTTAGGACTAGGGATACCGTGTGCAGTTATGGAAGACTGAAAGATAAGGACTCAGATCCCCACCTTTCCCATCACTAGCTGTGCTTCTCTTCCAATCAGTGCCCTCATCTGTGGAATGTGAGTGATGATCCCTGCCTGGCAGGGTTGTATGGAATCAGCCATGATAAGCACCACTGCCAAATAAATTGGAACATATTATTATCTGCCAAAACTCTGGCCTAATAGGGTTCCCAGGCTTGGGTAACGATGAAATAGGTCTGTAGGACACATAGAGCGACTCAGCCTCTAAATAATATTGTTGGCTTTGGGTCCCTACATCTGGATTCCATGCCATGGATTGAATCAGGTGCTTTGTATGAGAAGGTATCTGTCATCCTGTCATGGCCAGACTCAAGCATTCCTTCAGCATTATGGGAAGAAGTCTGGAGGGGGTCCTAGCAGATCCAGTTGATGTGTTGCATGTCCATTAGAAAAGGTTCGAAGATTTTGGGGAGGAGAATATCAGGAGAGAGAGGCCCAAAAATTTGATACAGGTAATTTGATACTCACCTTTTTTTTTTTTAAGATTTTATTTATTTATTTGAGAGAGCAAGGAGCACATGTGAGCTAGCACAAGCAGGTGGGGAGCAGAGGGAGAAGCAGACTCCCTGCTGAGCAGGGAGCAGGGGCACAGGGCTGGAAACGGGACTCGGGGATCATGACCTGAGCAGAAGGCAGATGCTTGATCAACTGAGCCACCCAGACACCCCTGATACTTACTTTTGAACCATATGATTCTAGGAATGTAGGACAAAACAAAATGTTCTGCTGTGGCATAGAAATACTTTTATCATCATAAAGTCTAACCCTTGTTTCTGGGCTTTTTGGAGTTTGCTGAGATCACAATAATATGTCATTTCACAGCAATATCTTGCCTTACTATCTTTTCCTTTATTAATAAGAGTGGTAGGCTGGGGGACCCATAAGTTATAACGTAGGAAAAGCCTTTCAAATTAAAAATCTCAAAGCCCACTGGTCTACACTGGGAAGAGATTTAAGAAACCCCTTCCAGGCCTCCCCACACACACAAAATCCTCTTCCATGCCCTGATTTCTGAACCAGTTGATAAATAAAATAAAAGCAAAACTCAAGATTGGAAGACCAGACGATCACTTCTATTATTGGAGAATTTAGTTTATAACTGTAGACGAATTTGCTTCCCAATGCTGAATCCGAATTACACAGTCACATTTCCAGTCACGGGCAGTGCTGGACCACCACAGGCCTTCCCAGGGGAGTCTACTCTCCTGTTTAGAGACCATAGCATGGAGGTCCAGATGGCTGTATGGCAAGAGCAGGACAAGTCACCCCTGGTTTCTACTTCCAAACTCTGCAGTCTAGAGAATAGAAAGTGAGCGCGGGAAAGGGACAAGAGGATGTAGAAGGGTACAAATATCAGAGTGAAATCACCTCCCCCTCTCTTCCCATTCATCTTGATGACTACCTTCTTCCGTTTGCTTATTCAGCTCTCATATAGTGAGCACCCGTGATGTGTTAGCTGCTTGGGATACAGAGGTGATTAATCCCTGCTCGTCAGAAATGTGGGATCTGCAAGGGGAGACAGCTGGGAAATGAGTAGCTCACAGGAGGCAACACTAGGACACAGGCATGCGTTCTACAAGAGCACTTGGGAGGGAGTTTGGTCCAGGCCCGAGAACTCAGCTAAAGATGATTTTGGAGACGGCGACTTCTATGCTGTTTAGTAGGGATAATATTCTGGCATTTTAAATCTGAGAAAGAAGGTAGAACTTTTCTCCAGAAACCAGCCTGGTGGGGGGAGGGGATGTCTAAAATTAGATTACCGCTGAATAAAAATTTAGGGCAAAAAATACAGTTTCATAATTTATGTGCTTTCTTAGAAATTAAAACCACAGGGGGGTTGGGTGCTGTTTATCTTTGCCAGTTTATTAGAGCTCAACTTTAGCAAGAAGAATCAGGTATTAAGTACCGATGTTCAGCATCCCAATGGTATGGCGGAAATTGAGGCTTTTTTTTTTTTTTTTTTTTTTTTTTTTTTCAAAAACACTAATTGTGGAACCTAGGACAGCCTTTTCTATTTGGGATTTGAGATGACTGGCAGTAAAAGAAGATTTAAAAAAATAAAAGTAGGAAATCCTGCCAAGGGTCTTCTCTATGACCAACATTTCTGGGCCTCAAATTCCCTTATCTGTTAATGGGACTACCACTGACTGCTGTACCCACTCTCTCGGGCAGATTGTCAGGACAAACTGGGGTGACAGATGCACTATGCTGTAGACAGTTAAGAGTCCAAGGCGTAATTTTTAATACCATCTTATAATGAAACACAAATGGATGCCAGCCTACAGCCGAGGATGTATTTTTAACCTAATCAGTTGCCTTTGGCACCAAATACCCCACTTTGCAGCTGTGGCCAGAAAAACATGGGTAAGGCAGATTTGGGAAAGAATTTGCCTGTGAAATAAATACATTTTAATGGGAAAAATCCTTACTAGTGCCATAAAACAACAACAACAACAACAGGGGGTGGGTGGAGTTAGCAGTTCTCTCTCTCAAGAACTTTTTATACTGTGATTTGTTTGGAGAGAGATTGATACACTACTATGCCAGGTCTGTTTAGGATATGGTGATAAATAGAGATAACCTGTAAGAGTAATTCACAACGGATGTATCCTGTTCCCACTGACTAATGCCTTTGTAAGTTTAGATACCCACTGAGAGACTATCACTTCTTTCATTCATTCAGTAAATAGTAATTGACCATGAACTATGTGCCAAGTCGTGTTCTGGGTGCTAGGATGCAGCAAGAAATGAAAGAGGTTTCAATAATTCCCTGATCTCATGGAGCTCATGTTGTAGAGAGGGAAGAAAGTCAACCCACAAAACAGTGAGTGTAAAAGGCAGGGATGATGTAAGATGGTGACATGTAAGCGGATCCTGGAGGTGAGGGTGTGACTGTCCCTAGGGTGGCCAGAGAAGTCCTGTCTGAGAAGAGGAAATTTGAACAAAGACCTGATGGAAGTGGGAAGGTGAGTCTCTTACTACGACTGTAGGGGAAGAGCTTTCC